ATTTCACTTCTGAACATCTGAAATGAGATGTAGTCTAGTGTCAAGAACTTTCCATTCATTGTTCCTTGTCCACCCACCCGCAATCATGTATGTGATGAATGATCTGGCAGTGAGGCAACCAAGGCCAAAGGGCTCTATCCACACATTTTAATTGGCTTATGTTTAAGGGAAAACAAAGAATAGCTGAACTTGGAAGAGATCTCTGGAGTACACCTTAAGGCCCTCCCTGCACAAGCAGGGTCATCTCTAGCAAGTAGGTCCAGACTATTTTTTAATTTCTCTAAGGAAGGAGACTCTAAAACCCCTCTAGGTAGCCTGCTTCAGTGCTTGGTCACCCTCATGGTAAAAAACTGCTTCGTTGTGTTCAGAAGGAACCTGCTGTGTTGTAGTTTGTGCTCTTCACCTCTGGGCCTGTCGCTGAGAAACACTGAAGAGAGCTGTCTTCTTCACTTTCTCCCTTCAGCTATTTGTGCTCATTCATGAGATGGCTGGAAGCCTTCTCCTCCCCAGGCTGAGCAGTCTCATCTCTATCAGCCTCTCCTCCTGTGGGAAATACTCCATCTCCGTCATAATCTTTATGGCCCCCTGCTGGATTCTCTCCAATATGTTAATGTCTCTACTGTACTGGGGAGTGCAAAACTCAGCATGGTTTAGTGTTTAGCCTAAAACTCAGCACAGTTTAGTGTGAGTCTCCAAGTGTACCCTTACCAAAGCTGAGTAGAAGCTGAAGATCATCATCCTTGCTGCAGAATTCCCTGAGATGTCCAGGACCTAGAGTTCCTAAAGGCTGGTCTTGCTAGTTAAGACTGATGTGAAGAATTTGTCCTGTGTTACCCACATTTTCTCTAGTCTTCCTTGAGCCACTTCTCTTCTTAGAGAAGCTCTTCTCACTTTTGACATCCTGTGCCAGATGTGATTCCAGGTAGACTTTGGCTTTCCTAGCCATGTGTCTACGTGTTTGGACAGTGCTTCTATGTTCCTCTCAGGCTACCTGTCCGTGCTTCTGCCTCCATATACTTCCTTTCTGTTCTAGGAGCTCTGTTCAAACATGCAGGCCTGTTGGCATTTTTTGCCTGAATTTGTGCTTGTTGGGATGGAGTGCTTTTGCACCTGGAAGAGGTAATCCTTGCACATGAACTAGCTTCTTTGAGTCACTCTTCACTCCAGGGTGTTATCCCACGGGACTCCTCCAGATCACCCAAGTGGTCACATCTGCTTGTCCTGGAGTTCAGTGTTGTGAGCTTGCTCTTTGCTCTGGTCACTGCACTCTGGATCTTGAACTCCACCACGGTCACTGTAGCTTAGGCTGCCTTCAACCCTCACATCACCAGTGAGCCCTTCCTTGTTTGTGAGCATCAGGTCCAGGGGGGCATTCCCCTCATTGCCTCCTCTATTGCTTGTGTCAGGAGGTAGTTCCCAATCCTTTCCAGGGACTTCTGAAACTCTTATGCCCTGCTGTGTTCCTCCTCCAGTACAGTAGGCTGGTTGTAGTTCCCCTTGAAGATCCTCTGAATGGGAGGCTAATTCCAGCTGTCAGCTCTGGGCTCCATTCAGTTTTTCACGGGTAAACATCGAATGCCGTCTGGTATAGCCAAGACAGTCTCTTCTGGTGTAGCACAGAGGACATGTGAGCATATTACTGAAATTTGTTTATTGTTTTATTGCTGGAACAGCTGCAGTGAAGTTTTGATTCTTCAGTTCACTCAGCTCTAGTGGAGTGCTTATTAATGAGCCTATGTGGCTGCTTTACTGTGTTAAAGTAAATAAAGGACAAGAGAATATTTGGCCTGGAGATGTTGGAAGGAAGAGATGTAAATGGCAACTGTATCAAAATCATTTCATAAACAAGCCTGGTTCCTTCTTAAATGTGGTTTGGCTTTTTGGTTTTTTTCTGGATTTTTTGTTTTGTTTTGTTTTTTTGTCTACTGCTTTTATTTGAAGTTTTTCTCAGAAGCATGCTACTTTAGTTGGTGGAAATATTCTTGTTTAAACCTGTAATTTACTGTAAAGTCACCTGTTCTCATGCTGTCATTACTCTTGAACCTAAATAAACAATTCTTCATTGAGTGACTCTCACAGTTCTGGGATTGCACTCAAAAATAAATGCAGCCTCAGTGAGTAAGAGATCTGTTAGGTAGCAAGGAATCAGCTCAGTGTCACAAGACAAAAGGCATTGGACCCTGGGCAGTAGCAAAGTAGCAATAACCTACTTTTGCATATGGTTCAGACATATAATGCCAAGCACAGTGCATGGGCAGTGGAATTAGATTTTGTGAGGCAGTTAAGAACAGGTGCAAGTATTTGATCACTAGTGTTTGTTACACATACCTGTTCCAGAGTGTTGTCCCTGTAGCGGTGTACTGCATCAGTGATATAAGCAGATAACATTGTTAGCCATTAACTGGCACCGTGTCCCTATCCAGAGGCTTGTGTTCTTGCTCTGTGGGTGGGTGGGTTGGTTGGTTGGTTGGTTGGTTGGTTGGTTTTTACAAGCAGCTTTTGCATGTTAATTGTCGCTTGGAGTGACTGCCCATAACATGGATGAAATCTTGCATGGCCTTTTAAGCAACAGAGGTGCTTTTAATCCAATAGAGGTAACTTACACAGACTGCTTTTCTTTACTGAGGTGGTAAAGAAACCATTTTGTTCCATTGCATAAAACCTACAGCACTGCACTTGTGCTTACTGCCTTTGGCTAATTCATCAACAGTGAATTAGCCATCTCTGCAGACCTCACCCCTCCATCCCCAGGCTCAACAGCAATTTGCCAGTAGATGTTAAAAGAACTCTGTAAAAATAGATCTATCTATTTTAACACAACATGTTTATTTTTAAATTAATTTTATTTATTAAACACCAGACAAATTCTTCATTCACAGCTTTGCTAGCCTTCCATATGATTTGCAATTGGGCTAAAGGTGAATTTACCTGAAGTCTTTTTGCACTGTCCTTGTAGGGTAAATATGGTTTTGTACTTCCGTGGTGAAGTCTGTACCCTTTACAGATTTCCCTTTAGCATCACATACATGGCAGACATTACCATTACCTGTTCATTTTCATTATTGTGACTAGCAGCCAGGTGTCCTACTTGATATCAGGCTGTAATACTGAATGAAAGAAAATAACCATTCTAGAGGGTCTGCCTTGACAAGTGGAATGAATGTATCATTAGTTCTAAGCTTCAGCAAAAGCTCAAGAAGGAGTTTGATGGAAGAAAAAACAGATGAGATAAAATTACTTTTTAAGAAACTAAAGCCGTTCACATTAATTTCTGCATTCTCAAACTTGAAATAAAGAAAGATCCCTGAAATTTTGTTTAAATGACTTTGCAGTGTGTTGGATGAGAACTTCCCATTCATACTGCTCATAGTTTCAGTACAAATGCATTTGCCAACAAGTGTGAATATTATATTCTACATCTGTGGCTGTTAAGAGAGCCTAAAATTGAGTGAAAGTTATATAGTTTATGACGTGGATAAAATCTTACATACTTTTTCTTGTCCATACAAACACGGACATATTGCTCCGTATGGGAATATTTTGAGTTTCTGCTGGATAAAGGCCTGAAGACAAAGGCAGTTGCACTTTTCTTAACCATCATCTATCACATGAAAAATTACAGTCTCTTCCCCTTTCCTTTCCAAATGGCAATGTATCACACTGAATGTTGTCATTTTTTTGAGTGCTGGAGAGAAACAGTGTTCCCCTATCTAATAGCTGTCATTCAGAGTTATTGAAGTCCTCTTTGTGGTCTGGCCTGTTCCAGGACTGATCACTCTTATCTGTGTACATGTGGAGGTTGCTCTGTGCATCCTAGAAGAGTTTTGACAGAGAGGATGAAGTAATTCAAGAGGCATAAACCTGATGGGACTCCACAGATGTTTTTGGCTGTTATTTCTGGACTGTGCCTGTAGCCTCAAGGGGGACTGAACACATATGATTCTGATTTCATATAACAGCTCTGTACAATATTCTTCTCTTACTTGCTTTGCCTTTTTTAGGTAATTTTTGCTATCCTCAATCCATTGGAATATTCTGCTTGTTAGAATAGTTCTGCTTTTATCTGGGGTCTATCTGAAAGTTTCCCATTCCTTGTAAATGCTCTTTATTGTGAAGTTAACAAACCAAATGTCAGCTGCAAATGGATTTTCACCTGAGCTTGTTAGTCCATAAAATCTAAAAGAGCTGAATCTATTTATATAGAAAACCAGCTTTAGAAAACATACATAAAAGCAGTAAAAGCTGTATCCTAGCACTTCTATATAAGGTCTAAGCACCTCCTATTAGGCCTCTTTGCCAAACCTAAAATGTGCCATACTCCCATATTGTTAAGAAATTATTTTTTCATTTTTCATTTTCTTTCCTTGTAGGATGGATTTCCATCCTTGTTTCAACTTGTTGCATATACATGTGCCTATGCATTTGCAGATTAAATTTGACTAATTAACATACTTTTATCCATTACTGGGAAGTTTTCAGGCCTACAGGAAAAAAAAATAGGACTGCCAGTCTTAGTGTCTGCTCTTAGTTTTAATGCAAAATCAGCAATGGTAGTGTATATTACTTTAAGCAATGAAACTGTTGTAGGCAGCATAAAAAAATCCAATTTTGTGGCTGTGTTGGGTGTGGGGAAGAAGGTGTGGGTAACTGTTTGATATTTCAAGACAAATCACTTGGCTGGGCTCCTTGACTTCTCCAATTTAAAAGCGCTTTGAGTGAATAGTGAGAAGACAATTATTTGAGGTGGCCAAAGCTGTCTCAGGACTGGTTCTCTTTCATCTGCTAGTGAATCAATTTAAGCAATTACATACAGAATAAAATAAACTGTTTTGAAATGGCAACTTGGACAAAATATGTTCCATAAAGAACCAAAACCAGCAGCAGCTCTATGCAAGAACTTCTCCCAGCAGCAGAAGTTAAATGTAAATTAGATTACACTGTTTCTGAAATCTGAATTAATGATTTTCCTGCTTTTGCCTCTCTTATTTTCCTCCTCTTAGCTTGTGCCCCTGGTTTCTTTAAAGTATCTGTGGGAGATGACCCCTGCCATCTGTGCCCTGCCCACAGCCACGCTCCACTGCCGGGTTCCCGGGAATGTGTGTGTCAGAACCGGTACTACCGATCTGCTTCGGACAATTCTGATGCTCCCTGCACTGGTAAGTGTTTGGATGAAGTGTTTGAAAGCAAAAAGGGAAGTTAATGAGAGAGAAATGTGACCAAATGATTTGGGGGAAGGGGTTGCAATTCCGCTCTTCTCAAAACCTTTTAGATAACCCAAAACTTCCCTTTGCTCCTGCACCTGACTACAGAGTGATGGTGTGAGAATGATGATTCTTGGGTTTCATTACAGCCTTCAGAGGAAAATGTTCTGTAAATAATGTTTCCCTTACCCCTCCCTGTTAGTGAGCTCAGCCTCTCTGTCCCTCCCCTTCCCATCTTGCTTTGTGTCTGTGCCCAGGTTTAGCACTGCAATTCTGCTGCCTACTTCTACCTTTCTGAACTTTTCATTTCTTAGCTGCAGTGTCTTGTCCCATTCTCATCCCCATACCTTCTTCTCACCCTCTGCATTTTCCTCCTTCTCTTCACTGTCTCTGTGCCATCAAGGGAAGTAAGTATTGGATGCACAGAATGGGCACTTTTTCAGCTGTCAGAGTTTACCTCTGATGGCATTGAGGAATCTGGCTGGCACCAGGAGTAATTGCAGGCAAAACTGGTGTCCAGTTCCTGGAGCAAATGCAACAGGTTAACTAAAGTGTGAGAAAGTTCAGAGATAATTAGGTGCCAAAGGAGAGAATTACAGGTCTCAGTAGAGATAAATCTATACTAAGCTTGTGTGAAGTTTAAAATTTCAGGGGATTGGCACTTCCCTAAACAATGACTGTTCTTTTCGGGAAATTAAAATGTCACACCCTTGAAACAAAGACTCTTCTTTGTAATTTTGTTTGTCTAAAATGTGCTAATACAGTTTTTCCTTTGTTAATATGTGTGCTTGATGTAGCAAAGAGTATGTTTTTCTTAGCCTTGCTCTAAGAAAGAACTGATGAAGAGTAAGAATGAGAAGAAGAAGCAACTTCTATTCCTTTCTCTTTGCTTTGCCTCCTGCCTTCCCTTCCCTCACCTCTCTCCCTTTCTTTCCTGGGATTTTGATCCTTCGTTCTGCCTTCCAGGCATCCCCTCTGCTCCTCGTGACCTCAGCTATGAAATCGTGGGCTCCAACGTGCTGCTGACCTGGCGCCTCCCCAAGGACCTGGGCGGCCGCAAGGACGTTTTCTTCAACGTGATCTGCAAGGTGTGCCCGGCGGGCTCGGCGGGGCCGTGCGTGCGCTGCGGGGACAGCGTGCACTTCGAGCCGCGCCAGGTGGGGCTGACCGAGAGCCGCGTGCAGGTCTCCAACCTCCTGGCCCGTGTGCACTACACCTTCGAGATCCAGGCCGTCAACCTCGTCACTGAGCTCAGCTCAGAAGCACCCCACTTTGCCACCATCAATGTCAGCACCAGCCAGTCAGGTGAGGAGACCCCTGCATCCGAGTCCTGGAGCTTCTACTTCTCTCTCTCTCATTTGATTTGCTTTTATCTTTTGAATCCTGGAGTTTTGTCTTTTTACTTGTGTCATGTGCCTTTTTTTATCCTGCCCTGCTAGTTGCATAGTTTCACTTTTGCCCTTCTCGTTCCTGTCTTACCTAAATGGGCTTTCCACTCTTGCTTCTTGGCAGAAAAACTCCAGTTTAGCAGCTGGTGTGATTTTTGGGGAAGAAGCTGCCCTGGAGAAGATTCCAATGGGAGATGTAGCACTGTGGGTCAGACGAAGCACATTGTTTCATTGTGCAAGAGAAGGGATGCTACCAGGGCTTGATGAGGATTTTGTGAACGTCATTTTTCCAGAGAAGCTATTCATTTTCTCTATCCCCTACTCTTCTCCATTTCATCATCTTATTTTCCTCTTAATAAGAAACAATTTTTTTTTCTCTTTACATGGTAGAAATATTAAAATGTGTTGTGCAGTTATATTCAAAAATGTCGTGATCCTTGTAACTAGAAACTAAATGGTGGGGATGACTAAACTAACATACTAATGGGTTGTGTGGGCAGTCAGAGGAGTTCTGTTTCCTGTAAATATAATTTACAAGGACTGGAGCTGGAGAGAGACACATACATCCAGGCATAGAGTTCTGCTAAATGTCAGCATTAAGAGACTGGGCATATGTTGTTCTTCACAAGCATGTATAAGCTAATATGGAGAGGAATTATACACAGCTTGTTTAAGAGGATATAATAAGGAGTAATGTGATGAAGAGGAGAAGGAGGGGGAACATTTTGAACTGAGTGACAGAAAATGTCTGCAAACATTTAGAGTTGTGTAAATGTTAAACTGAAACAAATCCCATATGAGGTTCCAGAGTGTAGTGTGGAAACCCCTGCAAAACAAGGTTTTGGCAAAGCTCCAGAGAAGTGCTGTGAAACCAGATGTAGCATCATGGTCTTGGTTAAATCACATCTTTGCATTTCTGTTTCTATTATATGGAAAGAAATTGAATGTGTACATACCCCCCAACTAATTTCCTGCTGGAATAGATATTTATAGATGCCAGGGGGTTGATCTGTTTGTTCCCTTTGAAATGTTACCTGACAGACATAAAGTAGCAAAGCACCTCTAGGATCTCTGGTCCCCTTAAGAGGCTGGCTGCAAGTGGGTGATCAGTTTTTGTTTACAGTAAAATGTGGCTGGGTAATTTGTATGGTAATTCCAGGCAGTTCCTTTGGCTTCTCCTGGAGAAAGGTGGGTGTTCTATTAACGTCCTACAGAATTCTCTTTCTTCATGTTTCTCATCTCAACCTTCTTTATCTATATCAGAGATAACTTAATTGAGCAGCTGCTTCCTCCTCCTTCCCGGAATCACTCAGTCTACCCTCTTCTTCTATTTCTGTTTGAAATTTCTGACCACTCCTCTTCCAAGTGTCTCACAGTGTCTTACAGCGTCTGGGTGTCTTGAGTATGTTGGGTACTCCTCTCTAAGATGCCTCTCTGTGCAGTAAAGCTGTTTCAGGGGAGAACAGCTTCCTTAAACATCAGTGTGTACTGAGTGGCTTCTTTTTGTGTTAGGTCACAGTTTTTTCTTTCCTTGCTTTTCCTTGAGATCGTTAGGAGTGAGCTTGAGATGAACTGCCCTCGATTTGTACTGACAGCTCATACTAACAAGGCCCTGCTTCCTCCATCACGTGGCCTGTCTCATCCATACCCCCTCCTTTTGATCCCTTCAGCAGCTTTTCACTTGATCATTGCTTGTTGATGTTGTGTTATTGTAACAATTATTATTATTTCTGTTATTCTTATTATACAAGCCGAGATAGAACTTTGAGGATTTTACATGCTGAGAGAAAAAGGGTACAGGAAAACATGAAGGGTACCAAAAAAAAAACCCAAAAATAAAGCAAAGAGCAAAAGGTACAGTGTCAGGATAAAGGGCCATAGCAAAATTTTTTCTCTCCACTGAATTAAAGAAGACCCAAAAAAAGATCCTCCAGTCCTGGCAGTTTCTGAAGATACATCATCTCATACATCAGTCTGAGTTCTCTCTCTTCTTGAAAACTGATGGTCCAAAAAATACTCCTGCCCCTTTTTTAGAGGTATCTTAGGCAATGTTCTGTGTGGAAGCAGTCCTACTTTTTCTTCTTCCCATGATACCTATTCACTCTTCAACTCTGTCTCCAAAACACTATTCCTCTAAGAGTTTGCTCACGGTCTTCTGGCCCTTCTTCAGAGCATGATAGGATCCCTTGGTTACAGAATGACATTTTTTGTGTGCAGACTGATTATGATGTTCCCAGTCTTCAGTGACCATGTGCCTGAAATCAGAATTAGAAGGACTGTTAGTGAAAAACCTCCTTTACTGTAAGACTTAACCTGAAACATGAGAGCTGTTTGGATAGCAGTAATGAAACCTGTTTGGATAGTAATAGTGTGAAATGCAAATATGATATGCTAATCACCGGAAGAACTGTGCAGAGATGAGACAAGAGAAGGGAATTGCTTTCAGCTCAGGTTTGAAGTGCTGAGGGTGAATACCTAAATAAATGTCAGGAAGTATAGAGAGATGTTGGAAGCCTTTTCCAGATAGCAGGAACCACATGATGAAAGGCAATTATGTAATTCTAATGAAGTTATACTTTATCACAGGTGTGAACCTGACACACAAAAATGCAAAGAACTTAAACTCTTACCATATTATCACAAAAAATAAAACAGACTAATCTTTTTATTCAGTATTTTAACATTTTCAAGTGTACTTATCAGGGTAAACAAATATCTCTTCTCATGTCTAAGGACAGAAGTCAGGTTTTCATTTAAAGGACTGTGAAAAAACTTATTCTATGCACAGCTGTAACTACCTGTAACTACCACTTTTTCCCTGCAAATTTCACTGAAGCATGTAGTAATGTCTGTTGCCAGAGAAATGCTACTGAACTTATTCGTTCAGGCAGTTCTTACATTCCTAGAAAGAAGAGGACAAAAGAAAGGCAGCAGAGATTTAAATGTTGGAACAAATCAATGCAGACTTTTAAAGCAAGTGTGTTGGGGTTTTTAGCTGAGTCCACACATTCTGAGAGCTAGTAGAGATATGTGAATAGAAAGGTTATTTGACCAGGTTGCCTTATACCTGTGAAAATATATGTAGCAGCCTTCTGCATCTGTGGAAATCAGAGCAGTGGGACCTGGCTATACCAAAAATCTGTAGCGCTGCAGAAATGAGTGCTAGACAGTCTGAAGGCTTGTGTAAGAGAATGAATGGGGACAAGGACACTTTTGGGTAGTGCCAGGAAGTTTAAGAGGATGTGACAGAAGATTTTCACATGAAATGGTGTGGGAAGGGGAAAGGAATTAAATGGCAAGTACGATTATGAGATTGTGAAGAGAAATGATGAATTGCTTGAAGATGTTTGCTTTTCCAAAGAGAGCCAAAAGAGTACAGTAGACTTAGTTGGCAAAATCAGAGATAAAGGCAAGGCATTTTCTAGTTCAAAATGAGAGAGAAATAAGAAGAGAGCTGTCAAAAGCTACATGCTGTTGTGTTTTGCCAAGATACAGCCAGCAGGTACAGCAAGTGGAGTGTGCGTGTTCATTGTCCTCTGAATGAAATGCATTGTTTTTCAAAGTCTTTAGCTGTTTGCTTATTTATGATCTAATTGCCAACACTCTCCAAAGTTCCCAAAGAATTCAACTTTTTTGTTTTCTGTTCAGATAGGAACAGCAAAAATACTTTTGTAAATTTTAATTTTTCCCTTAGTGACATTAATGACAATTTTCAATTTACCCATCTTTAATAGATTTGCCCAGCTATGACTGGGAATTAATAGTGGTTTCTATGGTCACTCCACAAAAAGGAACTATTCCAGTTTCTCTCTTTACTATGCTCAGTCTCTGCAGCATGAGCAGAGAACGAAAGGGCTTGTTTTCAAAATTCAGGTTTCACTTACTGTTCAAATGAAGTCAAATCTTTTGAGCAAGTGTAAGTATAAAATACAAAGTAAAACATGGCACCTTGTGTCATAAAGGCTATTTTCCTTTTTGTTAAGCATGAATGGAATGCATATACAAAAACTAATAATAAAAGAGGGAAGGGAAGTTACAATAACTGACTAATTTGCCCTTTTAAAGCACTCTTCATCCATAGGGAGCAAAAGTACAAGGTTATGACAGAAGACAATCCAAGATACTTTTAAAGGATTTTGGGTATTTAGAGAAAGGGCCATAACTAAATTGAAATGTGTAGAAAAATGTAGGGCATTTTCAAAATAAGGATAAGATAATAAACACATCAAGAAGGGAATTTCCATGCTGCATTCAGACTGATCTTCCTAGAAGATGATGTTTGGGAAACTGGACAAAGCTATAAACAAAGCTAGGGTCTTCATGTCATCTGCTTGGAATATGAGAAGAATAGGATACCTGAAGAGGTAACAAAAGTGAAATATCCATAAGAGACTGTAGAGATGTTAGTGAACATTAGAGGCCAGCTGAGGTTGATCAAATCGTATGACTTTAGAAGATTGTGGGGCAAGATGGAAGGGGAAGAGAACACATAAATAACACAGATGTAACACACAGGTCTTGGCAGGATTTAGTTTGAATGCTGGTGGAGTGATGACCCATGAGCCAGGTGTCTGATCTCCTCTTGTACTCCACGGGTATCCAGTCAGTACTGCTAAATGAGGGACTCCTCAGAATCAGAAAATGGCTAAGTGTGTAAGATACCTCTGGAGAACATACTCTCCAACCTGTCTGCTCATCAGGGTCACCTCAAGCTAATTGCCCCTGACCACACCTTTGAATATTGCCAAGGTTGGAGACTCAACAACCCCTTTGGATGAAGGTGGGGCTCAGCTGCCTGCATGTCCCTGTATCCTCTGTCCTTCCCTTACTGAGGAGAGGAGTGACATCTGTTTTCCACTAGGCCTCAGGCACCTCTCACAGTCACAAAGATGTTTCTAAGATTATCAAGAGTGCTCTCGAAATAACATCAGCCCAAAGGATGCATCCCATCAGGGTCCATGGAATGCAGTAGTTTGCCTGAATATTCAGTCACCTGATCTGGCATGAGGAAGATCTTCCCAGCTGCAGACTTCCCCAAGGTCTGCACAACCTGGTGTTCCTAAAGGCAAGACTTGCTGGTAAAGACTGATCACCAGGACATGCACCACCCAGCAGCTGGCCCACATTTTCCCTCTTTCTTCAACCAGCTATGCACTTAAAGAGAAACCCTTCTTGCTTTTGACATGGAGAGCCAGATGTGATTCCAGGTGGGCTCTGGCTTTCCTAGCCATGTGTCTGCGTGTTTGGACAGTGCTTCTATGTTCCTCTCAGGCTACCGGTCAGTGCTTCCACCCTCCGTGTACTTCCTTTCTGTGTCTGAGTTTAGTAGGAGCTCCTTGTTCAAACATGCAGGCCTGTTGGCATTTTTTGCCTGAATTTATGCTTGTTGGGATGGAGTGCTTTTGCACCTGGAAGAGGTAATCCTTGCACATGAACTAGCTTTTTTGAGCCACTCTTCCCTCCAGGGCATTATCTCATGGGACTCCTCCAGGCAAAACCACAAGGGGTCACATTGGCTCTAAGTATCTTCATGGAATGTAATATGGACTGAATGCCACATGCCAGAAATGGTCATGGTCTGCTGAGAATGGCACTTGGCTGTTCTCTGCAGAAGTGGGGATTGTCATGTATTGTTAGATGAGTCTGCACTTCCTTCACATTCCTGACTTACCTGTCTGTTGATTGAGATAGATTTTTAGTCTTGCAGGCACGTGTCTGCTGCCAGGAAAAAATTTGTCCTGCAACTGACAGCCCACAAAATATAGAAACTGGGAGTTGTACTTAACTGGTGTTTGGATTTCTTTACACCTTAGCTGGGTTTATGTGGGCAAGAATTTTCCATACATTTGCTATTATTTAAATTGCATACAATGAGAACTGCTTTTTCAATCTTAATTAAAGATCTGATCTCATAGCATATTTTTGCTCTGAATAGAATAGAATAGAATAGAATAGAATAGAATAGAATAGAATAGAATAGAATAGAATAGTTGGAAATTAACCTATAGTGGTCATCTAGTCCAACTGTCCAGATTGGATTGAATCAGGCGCTGTGATTTCAGCTGCCATTAGACAGGGACCTAACATATCTATGTCTATAACCTCATGTGAAAAGAAAAGAATAAAACTGACAAATCAATATAGACCTGGACACATTTGTGTATACAAAAGAAAGTTTTGAAACCAAAGTTCTGTTGTAAACATTTTTAAAAGTTGTCATGGAAACAAGGGAAAATACTCACCTAGCACTTCTGTAGAATTTTGAATGTCTATAGACATAAAATCTTTATATTTCCTAATGTATTAACACTCAGAGAATAACCTCTGACAGGAAATATGTACCATGTTAGTATGAAACTTTCAAAAGAGAAATCTTGCTATCTCTTTTCATTCAAGCGATGGAAGAGCTCCCTGGTCAGTGTTTCATAATTTTTTAGGTCCCTAAAGGAGAGGCACACATGTATCAAAATCTAAACTATGTCTCAGAGAGACAGATTAAAGACAATCTGCCTTGCAGTGATTCATAGCTGGTTTTATTTCTGAGTGTTTTTAATGGCTTTTGCTCTAAGTAGTGTCTGCTTATTAGGTGCAAATCACTAAAATTACTGTTTTTAATACAATAGACTGCAGTATCCTGGTTGCCTCCCCCCTGCCACCATCTGATTACCCTAAGTGATGGACATATCTGGATAATAGGAGCTTTCTAGAATGCTGTGACACGTGGCCAAGAGATACACTTGAGTGATGTTTTTGTTATTTCTTTGTTGATTAATTCTTCCAGGTAGGGGAAAAATTTGGGATAGGGGAGAAATGAGAGGCAAGAGAAGAATAACTTTTAGAGCTGGGGAAGAGAGGAATTGTGGGGAGATTTAACTCTGATCATTCTGTAAAATCTTAGAAGGAAGTAGACTGTCCCCTGGCAATGTAGCTCTGCATTTAGGTTTGCACCTCTCCTGTGTGTTTGCTTTGTGTCTCAGTGGAAGAGAGTTAAACTTTTGGAACATTAAATGTAGCAGAATCTGTCTTGGTCAAATGTTAGCTGACCAGTTACCTCCTGACATTTTAATACAGTATTATTCATTTGCATTTTAAATGCTACATATGGTCTTGGTTAATTGTCGCTGTTTTCCATTCTTGTCACAACATTCTCATTGGCAGGTGAGGTTGTTGTGTAATCTTGTTTGAAGGACGAGCAATGGTAAAAAGTAAAAGGAGTAACAAGGAGTGAAAGTATTTTATTGCTTAGGCTCTTATTTTGTTTCGTTTACATTTTTAAATTAGTTCCCACTTGCCTGAGCTGTTTGAAGCCCATCTGAAATATGCTTTTCAGAATAATTTTATCTTGTTATTAAAAACAATCCTTTTATCTTTTTCACGATTAATGAGGGAAGAAAATGCTATTCTGCAGGTTTTGATCATTTGCCAAATGTCTCTGCTTCATTCTTCACATCAAGGAAGTTTATGTCTATTTTCTAAAACCAGTGGGGTTTGGTGGCAACTTTTCATTGGCACGCTTTTTCTGGAAAATTTAAATGTTGCTGAAAATGTTGCATCCATTAGAAAAATGAGGATACCCTGACTGCTTACCTGTAGGTTTCTTGGCAGCATGACATTTTCTTTGCAGAGACAAAGCAAAACTTGAGAAGAGCTTTGTGGAAAAACAGCTGGATCCTCTGAAATTGTACTGAAATTTTTGCTTGGAAATCTCTTCCCAAGATGAAACTCATACACTCTTAGCTTTTGTATGAACCTAGAAAGTGTGCATGTGTGTGCAGATGGGTTCATGGATGGTTTTGATAGAAGTGGATTTCCATTCTTTAGATTTTCCATTTATGTATATGAAACATGTATATGTACATGTTTCATGTACAAGGCCTCCATTACTCTGGTAGCCTATACTTGATTTTTTTCCCCCCAGGAAAATAATTACAGTCTAGGGGAGGAGCAGAAGAGAAGTCATGTGCTCTGCATTTGTTTTGACCACTGTCATATTCTTTGTCCAGGCGTGATCTTAAGGCAGTGGCATGGAGCATCTTCTGATCTTGCACATAAAAATTGCACCTTTGAAGATCAGAATTATATTCCAGCTAATATATAGATATTTCTTAACTCCTGTGCTGCATAATCAGTTGGATGTGGATTTCTTCACTTTCTTTCAGTCTGAGTTGTCAATGGCTGTATCCCCCAGCGGAGTAATATTGTGCCTGGATTTCCTCTGGTTATTTTACAAAGTATTACATAATGCAAATTAAGGAAAATTAAGGGAAGAACTGGCCTAACTTAATAACTTATCCTAAGGACTGTCCAAATACAGTTCATTTTTAAGCTTATCCCTTTGCAATCTCTCCTTTTTGTCTTTTATTCCAGTCCCCTCTGCTGTGCCTATGATGCATCAGGTGAGTCGTACTACCAACAGCATCACACTGTCATGGCCTCAGCCAGACCAGCCCAATGGGGTCATCCTGGATTACCAGCTACGCTACTTTGACAAGGTGAGCAAAAAGGGATACTGAGCACTTTGTGTCTGGGTGATGCACCCCTGCATCAGAATGAACAAGGTGGGGAAAAAAAAAAGTTTCAGTTATGAGGAAGGAACAAACTTTAGCAATACCAGAAGTTTGTGATATACATGTCTTCTGGCATCAGTCCATCTGCATTTTCCAACTTGGAAACATCTAGGGAGAAGACAGATTTTAAGAAAAAAGAAGATGCTTGTTTAAGCTTAAAAGCTGCAGCTGACAATAAGTTTAGTATCAGCTGACACTGGTAACAGTGGAAGGAGCTGAAGTTTCTAAATATATTTACTGGAATTGGATTCACTGCAAGTCTGTCATTCATTTATGAGGAGAAGTCTTGTGTCCTCATTTATGCCTGGACAGACATCTCTAAGAAATTTTACGAGAAGAAATGCCCTCTTTCATTTGCTAAGTGGCAAATACCTCTTTGTGTGCTGGAATTACAGGGTGGCAAATACAAATTTATCCTCCATTCTCATGTCTTGTGACTCCTAATCCATCTGACTTGAGGGGAAGAGATATGTGGGGCTGTTCAGACAAACTCCCATTCCATATTACTGGTCTTTCACAGAAATACTTCTGCGGGATTTTGTAGGGCTACTATTTTTTAGTGGCAAAAAGAACTGCTATTTGTGATAACATGTATAGCAGCTTCCTGGATACAGCTTTACATGTGTTCTTGCTCTGAATTCTCCTGGGGGAGTACACGAGTTTGGAGTTTATAGAAAGTGAACCATAGGACAAAGTTTTGTCTTTCATTTTTGTTTAGATTGAGAGTCTTTAGCAGAGCTTTGTGGGAAGCCCAGGCCTGGGGGAATGAAAAACAGCAGTGAGGAATGAGTAGTGTGAGAGGAAGTAAGGTCTGGAATAGCAGCTGTTGTTGGGAGGCTCTGTAAAGGTTCAAAGAATATTGGGTTGACATGGAAACTGTCATGCCTTGATGAGGAGAGTGAGCAGTGTAGGCAGAAGTTTCACATTCCTTTTTGGTCATTGACATTCACAGGCAGAAGATGAGGATAATTCCTTGACCTTAACTAGTGAGACCAACATGGCCACAATATCAAGTCTGAGCCCAGGGAAGATCTATGCCTTCCAAGTGCGTGCTAGGACAGCAATCGGCTACGGCCCTTACAGTGGGAAGATGTATTTCCAGACTTTAACAGGAGGTAAGTGCTGCCTTTTTGTGCCATTTCAGGTCTGCACGTGATCACCTTCCACTTGCCTGTGTCCCTGGAGTGTATTGGCTTATCCCCTGGAGGACTGCTACCAGACACTCCTACTCAACTTGTATTTCTGTGTATAATAATTTGGATATGTAGATTTGTTCACTTAGAGAAGCTTCATGTTGTCCGAGGGTATTGTTTATGCTACTGCCATACTCCCCAGCCCTGCTCTTTGTTGCCTCTGTGCTTCTCACCAGCAGGAGCAGTGTGCCAGTAAAAATCTCTTTAGCGAGATGTGGCAGTACATAGCACTATACACTGCTGTAGTTTGGCCCTCAGCTGTCACGGGGACATCTTACAGCCGAAAACTCTGAGAATGTCTAAAAGACCGGTGGGACAGAGGACACAAAGGTAGATTGGACACAGGTTTATGTGCAGGAGCTTGCCTTCCAGCAGGATCACCATCCTTTTGGTAGGGATCAAAGGTATTGGCAAGCTACATTAATAGGGGACAGTGGGATACAGCCCAGGTGTAGAGCTAACCTGTTCTTAAGTGGCTTGTCAGCTGTCAGTGGACCAGGGAAGAAAGAGGAAGTGGATTTAGAGGGAACACTGGCTTTTCAGATGTAGGAAAGAAGGTGCTAGAGAACCGCAGTGACTGGGGAGCAAAGGGCTGGTAGGGCTGGAATTATGGGAGAGATCTTGGTGAGCAGAAGGGAAGCTGGACAGTTCCTATCCTCTGCATCCATGTGTGCGTGTCTTCCTTGGCAGGGGAGCGCTCGGAGATGGTGCAGGACCGACTGCCGCTGATCGTGGGCTCAGCGCTCGGGGGTCTGGCCTTCTTGGTAATTGCTGCCATTGCCATCCTTGCCATCATCTTCAAGAGGTGAATTCCTTGACCTGCTCATGTGCACTTCAGACAGTGGAACTTCCTTATCCCTGCAACATAACCCTGTCCCAAGGGAAACAGCCTGATCTGCATTTATCCAGATGCCCTTGAGATGCCATTCTCTAATTCAGGAAAGATCCTGCCCCATTACTCCTATCTGAGGAGCCTCTCCTTTGGTAAACCGCTCATGTACTTAGCTGATATTTGGCTAGTTAGCAATATGAACACGAGGAAAGCATTTCAAAGCTGTTACTCAGAAGGTACTTAAATGCATAGCTGTGAAGGAGGGACTGTAAATTGCAATTTAGGCAAGCAAGTGGAGAATGAAACAATGTAGTGGAGAAGGACTGGTGGAATAAGTATGCATATTCAGTTATTTAGAGGGTGATAAATACCCTTTCACCAAAGACCAAAACACAAGGGCTCATTTGCTGAAGAATAAAATCTATTCAACCCCAATGGTTCCATGGAGCACTAGCTCATAAAATACAGGTTAAAGAAAGCAAATACCACTTTCCATTTTGAAAAGAATAAAGGGCATATAAAAGATTGTCGAGATAATCTGTTACAAAAAAAAAAAAGAAAAAGGACAGAAATTTTAAAGAGAAAAAGGTGAGGGTTGCTATTTTTATAGAGGTACAAAAGTAAACAATGGGGATTTTGTTATTTGAAGAAAAGAAACAGTCATTACCCGCTCCTTGAATTTACTGAGGTTTGAACTTAATCCCCTAGATTGTCAGTAATGGATTTCTGTGTCTTTGCTCTACTGTGCCTCTGCACAAGAGGGACTTTTTAGCTTTTTCTGCTGACCTAAAAAAAATGTAAAAAACTACTTAACTTTAGAAAGTGAAGTCTAGTTTTAATGATTTCTTTTTTGTTCTATTCTCTTTTCTACATTTGTTTTCTCCTCTTTTGTATATTCTCTTTTAATATTTTTCTTTCTGGAAAGAAAAGAATTATCACATATTGTTATATTTTAAATGTTGCCTCCTTTTGTTACTTTGAACTGTTAAAAATAAAATTTCTTGTTACAGCTGGAAATGTGATATTATGTGCACAACTCAATAAAGCATATATTTTTCTAAAAAAAATAAACCAAACCCAGAATAAGTTAATATTACCAAAACTGTGTTGGGGAAAGACATTAATGGCACTTGTAAATATACATATGAGGAAACATCATAAAAAATACATTCATTTATACTTAAAGAATTATGTACAGTTAATAGACAGCTTTTCAGAAAAAGGGGAGATACCAAATTTCTATTTTAAATTTGTCCTTGCTAAGAAAAGTTTGAAGATGCAGAAAATGAGGAACACCAGATGAAATGAGTAGTTCCTTAAAAGGTTGAACATATGTAGGGTCAAATGCTATGACTTTAACTTGTTTTTGTAAATTGTTGGTACACATTTTTCAGGCAATATGCACTGTGAAACGTCTATTTTAGCTAATTGTTTTGTTGTCTTTTTATATGGAAAACAATTAATTTGTTAGATAATCTACAGAAAACATTATTGTAGACCTGACTTTCAGGTTCAACAACAGAATTAGAGCTCTTAGGTATAGGCTCCCAGCAAAGCTGATTTCTTTGCACAAGAGAAAAAATTTTGACGTTAAAACTGTCTGTGGATTTCAAAGCAGAATTTAAAGAGATAAGTCTGACAAGTAAGAATAATACAGTTAGCTGTTAGAATGTCAGAATTACTTATGTTCATAAAGAAAAGTAACATAATGTTTCATGATACTTTGCCTTCAAATGCTAATTGAATCAGCAGCTAAAAGGTCTCGTGCTGAAACAGCAAAACATGAGTTGACACAAATCCATGCAGACAGCAGGGATACTGCAGGATACTGTAGGGTTTGATTTACAGTCTGGTCTAATTAATAGGATGATTGGAAACTAGCATGCAACATACTTTTTTTTTTTTAATGAACACTGCTTGGAACAAAGGAAGTAGCTTGAAAATGGCAAATAGATTTAGTGCAAACAAAGAATAGAATGAAACTTCTAAAATAATTAGATTCTGTGGGAAATAAATGATTGAATCATACACATTCAGAAGGAGAATGAAATCTGATAAATGCCTGTGCTGAGAAGGATCTGTGCTTACTGGAAATTAGATGCATATATGCAATAAACCTTACAATAATAAAGACCATACCTGTTTTGACCTGCATATGCAAAAGTCACATCAAGGAACAGATTTCCATCTGTTTGGGTCTGTGTGATTTGTTTGGGTACCATACTTATGAATAGAATGGCCAAAGTAAATGCTGTTAAACAAAGACAGGAGGAAAAATAATTGGGGGAGATCTATACATAGAGTAAATGGCTCTTAGAATGTTTTTGAAGAACTTAAAAGGCATCACAAAAGAAGGCATACATTATAATTGAGAAGAATTATTTGTTGTAATTAAATTAAATTTAAATGCAAATTTAGCCTGAAGAGCAATAAAACTTCCAAGGCAGTAAAGTTAAACTGTAATATTGTTTTTCAGGATAGTGTTGAAAGCCCTATCATTTGTCATTTCTAATGTGGGGGTGCAACAGTGGTGTAAAAGCCACCACATAGAAAACAAGCATGCACTGGTTACCAGGAGATGGGCAGGATCTCAACATCCATCTTCTACCCCTAATTTGAAGGATTCTCTGAGCCTTGCACTGAGAAGCCTACCCCAGCATCTGATGAGAGACTCTTGTGTGTGTTTTGACTTTCCTTTCCTTTGTGTCCTGCAGTAAAAGGCGAGAGACCCCATACACAGACCGCCTGCAGCAGTATATCGGTGCACGAGGTAAGTGTGTTTGAGCAACAGATGGCAAGGGCCTGTCTCTTTTTAGGACTCATTAATACCTGTGTGTCTCCGGGTTTGATCCTGGTGATGTTTTGGGCTCTTTCCCCCACTGCAGGACTTGGAGTGAAGTACTACATTGATCCTTCAACCTATGAAGATCCCAATGAAGCCATTCGAGAATTTGCCAAGGAGATTGATGTGTCCCTCATAAAGATTGAGGAGGTCATTGGATCAGGTAGTGTGAGAATCTGCAGAGTGTTTGAAGTGCCTTCTTGTTCACCTTGAGTCCTGGCACAGTACTGGCCTGAAGTGGACCCATGGATCCATGATACATCAAGCGTCTCAGGATATCTAAACCTTCATTTTTACCAAAATTCATTTTAACCTACTAACTCTTAGATGCTGGCTCAAAGCCAAATTTAAAACACCCTTTGAAGACTCAAAACTCCTCATTTGAACACCAAAGATGTAGTAGTCTCCAACCTTCATCAAAAATTTTGACTTAATCTAAAGAGCCCCATAACCTCATTTGTATGCATTGCCCAAAGTCATCCACAGTAGAATGCTTTAGTACATCTGACTAAAATCCATTGCTGTGTTTCCTTACTTGAAGTGTGTTTCTTCCCTCCCTGACAGGAGAGTTTGGAGAGGTGTGCTTTGGGCGCCTGAAACACCCAGGGAAGCGTGAATACATGGTAGCTATTAAGACCTTGAAGTCAGGTTACACAGAGGAGCAGCGGCGGGAGTTCCTGAGCGAGGCCAGCATCATGGGGCAGTTTGAGCATCCCAATGTCATCCACCTGGAGGGGGTGGTCACCAAGAGCCGACCAGTCATGATTGTCACAGAGTTCATGGAGAATGGATCGCTGGATTCCTTCCTCAGGGTACCACAGAGTCTCCCACAACCACTAACCTCTTCATCCTGCTGTGTGCCAGTCTCAGACCTGATAATTTTGCCTGTCCTTCTTCTTCACTCCTGTCTCCCTAAGTCCTCAGTTGTCCTCTTCAGGTGCAATAGAAATTATAGCAAATAGCCACAGTAAGTGGTTTCAGGACAACATGGTGAAAATACTCCAAGGGCTCAACAACCATATAAAATTTCAGTATTTCATACTTCTTCAGTAATTAATGTAAACAGTGCCAAATGTTTGTACACACCCTTTCAGTTGCTTATGTACATTCCAAATTTTTCCTTTGTAATAACATTTTTCAGACTTTATTTCACAGAATATTTTCTAGTTTTAGCATTGTGATGAAGTAATGAAACTTGCAGTTATTTTTGGATTTCAAGTTTTCTAGTAATGAAGCACAAATATGGACAATCTATGTAGTATAGCTGCTTCAGTTCTCCTTTTTATTGATTCATGTGCTCATTCAGGCAGAAATGCTTTGGCAGGTACAATTTGAATAGCACATTGAGTAGAGCTACGTAGAGGCCATTGTAAAGATCTTAATACAAGCAGATTTGTCTGCACACATTCATTTAGCCATCTTAGTGAGGTTAGGTGTAGGATGCTAAAGGCTAAAGGGGGATGTGGCCCAAAGAGGAGGTTTGTCTTCAGGAAAAGTTCATTCAGCAATGTCTGATTTTATTTGAGGTTCGTTGCTTTAAGCCCACCCTCCTTTGTTATGTGTTGTCCTTGAACCTGCAGATTTGGGCTGAAATTAAGATTGTGTGCTCTCTAATTTCATACATCCACGTTGTTACCTTGCTCTTTGTTACTCTCCCCTGTTGGCTTGATGTTCTGTGGCCATGAGAGCCTGTGTTTGCCTCGTGCCTTGCAGCAGAAGGAAGGGCAGTTCAGTGTGCTGCAGCTGGTGGGAATGCTGCGGGGGATTGCAGCCGGCATGCGCTACCTGTCAGACATGAACTATGTGCATCGTGACCTGGCAGCACGAAACATCCTGGTCAACAGTAACCTGGTGTGCAAGGTGTCAGACTTTGGGTTGTCCCGCTTCCTGGAGGATGATGCTTCCAATCCCACCTACACGGGGGGTCTGGTGAGTCACTGCTGTGGTGGGAGTTGTGTAGTGCTGACAGAATTTTTTCTGTGTTCCTCCTTGGTTTGGTGTACCCTCTTAATTCCGTCTTAAGACCATAGAGAAGCATGGAGTAGAGCCTTCTGTCTTGTGGGCTATTTGTTCTAAAGCGGTAAAAATGAAAAATAACTGAGTACCTGAGCCACTCTGCCATGTGAAGTCTCGGTGCTGTTCTTTGTGGCCTGATGGTGAATAGGTCAAACCTCACAGCCTGATGTAGCTATTATCTTCCCCATTTCATTAGCTTTTTATAGGAAGGATAAAGGACTGAAGGAGAGATTGCATTCCCGTACTGCCACTCTTTGAAGAAAGAGTTGGGCTTTTTCCTACAGAAAAGATAAATGACCTAGGTGTATTTATGGGCTTACAACCAACCATCAAATGAGCTTATTGCCTATGAAGCTGTGACACCTGTCACACATACTACAAAAAGTGTGGGAGTATAGCAGGTGGATTGAAAAAGATGAAGAATTCAGTCACTGAAAAGTGGAACAATTTTTAGATCTGTGCACTTTGAAGAACCAGCACCTGAATGGTATTTAATCTTACAGGTCATACCTGCAGTTAGAGAGGTCAAGATGGAAAGGGAAATGAGTTAATGCTAGCTACTCAGTCTATCTGTCCCTAAGTGCTGCAGTTTGACATTATTTAAATGGTTTTAGATTTCCAAATGATTGTGACTCAGGAGGATTCTGCTATATGCCACTTTCAAATGCTGCGAAGTAAAGCTGTGAAAGTATAAAATCATGGGATTTGTAGCATCATGGAGACACAATTCTCTCTTTTCATTTACACTTGTCAGCAAAACAAGGTGGAAACCTTGAACATAGTATGAATTAAAACCAGCAATGTTTCCAAGACCAAATCAATGGAACTGTCACTCCGTGCTCCAGGCTGTGTTGTGCTGCTAACATCTGATTGTTTCAGTGATGTTGTTTTCACAAGCAGTCCTTATCTCGATACATTCTGGTTGCTTTCTGTCTGCTTGCCAGGGCTGCAAAATCCCCATCCGCTGGACTGCCCCTGAAGCCATCCAGTACCGCAAGTTCACCTCCTCCAGTGATGTCTGGAGCTATGGCATTGTCATGTGGGAGGTGATGTCCTACGGTGAGAGGCCTTACTGGGACATGTCCAATCAGGATGTAAGTTTTGGAAGTGGTGAGGATTTACTTCTGCCTCTTTGTCCTGTATCAGTTCAAGCAGAAGAAAGCCACACACACTGAATGATTGAAGCTCTTTTGTTTTTTATTTTCCCAGTTGTGATAAAGCTTTGTTCTTCTTTTCCTGCAGGTAATTAATGCCATTGACCAGGACTATCGCTTGCCACCACCTCCAGACTGTCCAACTGTTTTGCACCTGCTGATGCTTGACTGCTGGCAGAAGGAGAGGGTCCAGAGACCCAAATTTGAGCAAATAGTCAGTGCCCTGGATAAAATGATTCGCAAGCCATCGGCCCTCAAAGCCATTGGCACTGGGACCAGCAGGTGAGATGGGGATTTAATGCAAAATAACAGGACTTGTCTCTCAGTAGGCATCATGAGGACAGGAAAGCTAGAAATCAGGCTATATCGTTTTTTCCTAACCCAGTCATTTGAGATTGGGAACAAACAGGAAGTGGAAAAAAAGAGAGGAAGCAGGTTGGAAGAACTGTATATCCTGATTCAGTTTACGGGGAGCTCTGAGTGCTGAATATGACAGGAGAAAAATCTCGATACTTGCACTGAGATTGAGTGACTGAGGGATCATAGGGAATGAAGGGAGGGACACATCTGGGTGCAGCAGCACGAGATATTCTGTGATCACACCATATTATGTGAGCACAAGAGATGATGAAGAAAAAGAAGACTTTAGCCTATGGAGGGAAGGAAGTCTCTACGTGGGAATAATTAGAACTGCAGCTTACATCCCATATTTTCCCAACTGCATTTTGTAGTCTGATGGAACAAGAGGCAGGAGGTCAGCAAAGAAGAAGTCTCTGGAGGGATAAACGGTGCCAAGGTTAGTTGGCTGCTGGGCTGATGACGAAATTACATCCTGCTGGCCTGGAAGGGTTTTCCCTGTGGTTATAAATCTTGTATCAGTGGAATGCACTCCACAGCTGGGGAAGGGGAAAAGTATCTAGTGATGCCCAGTTTACTAAAAGCAGCACCTAAAGAGTGTTAAAGCTCTGGGACAAGTTCAGATGATGAGGAAAAGAGCAAATACCATATGTAAACAGTAATCTCTTCAGCCTTTTAGTGCAAGTCTTTTATCTGATGGGTGTTGGAGCTGAAATAACGCACTCGTTGTGTCATAGGTCACTATCTGACCAAAAGAGAACATTTAGGAGAGAGAGACCTAGTCACAAAGGTAAAAAGGTATGTAAGGTCTCTTTCAGAAACCTCCTCACTGCAGTTCATTGCCCAGCTAATAGGTCTAGACCAAGAAAATGTGGAAGGATCTTGGGCAACAAGAAGAGAATGTGTCTGAGAAAATACAGGCAATGGGAAGGGAGAATCAATTTCTTGGGTTCGTTGATTGTTTTCAGGCAGAAAAAGGGACACTGGAAGTCTAAAAACAGCACATCAAGGTGGGACTTCAGGAACCAGGGCATGAAGAACAAATGTTATTGTTCTTCATTCTGTCCTCTTCGGAGGCTGCATTCTCTCCCTCTCATCATTCTTATTTTACTAGTGTGCTCAGCTGATGCTGATAACTTGGGTTTTAGAACCTGCCTCTTTTGCAGACCATCTCAGCCTCTCCTGAGCAACTGTCCTCCAGATTTCCCTTCCCTTAGCAATGCCCACGAGTGGTTGGATGCTATCAAGATGGGTCGCTACAAGGAGAATTTTGACCAGGCCGGTCTGGCTACATTTGATGTCATATCACGCATGACTCTCGAGTAAGTAACAGAGCAGAGAACAGCAGATACCAGACTCTAAGTTTTCCATGCAGAAAGTGAAAGCAGTCTGAGAAATTTGCTATATGGAAAATACATACACATGGAAAAGGAGAGGGAAGCCAAAGCAAAGTAGCTACTGTTGCTTGCATATTACTAGGGTCTCTGGACGACACCCATGCTGTGATACACTTGTAACCTGTATCTGTAAGTAGCAATTCTGATCCAATGTGCATCAGAAAATGTATTGTCAGTGTTGCAGAGAGCCTGTTTATATCTGAGTGTTCATGACAGCTAGCACTGATAATAACAACCACTTCTAAGCAGATGTGTAGAACCAGCCACACCATATACTGCGTTGAAGTGTTATGTAAAAAACAGGATCCAGGAAAACAAACATTCTTGGAATCACAGAATGGTTTGGGTTGGAAGGGACTTTTAAAGATCCTCTAGTCCAACACCCCTGCCATAAGCAGGGACACATTTAACTAGATGATGTTACTCACAGCACTGTTGAACCTTACCTTGAATGTTTACAGGGATGAGACATCCACAACTTCTCCTGGCAACCTGTTTCTGTGTCCCACCACCCTTCCTTATTTCCAGTCTAAACCTGCTCTCTTTCTTTCAAAGGTTTCAAACCTCTGCCCCTTGTCCTGTCACTACAGCACCTAGTAAGAAGTCATTCTCCATCTTTCTTGTAAGACCCCTTCATATATTGATTGAGAAAGTTCTTTCTGGAGCCTTCTCTTCTGACTGAACAAGTCCAGCTCTCTTTTTTTCTGTACGAGATCAGCCCTCTGATCCTTTTTTGTGGCCCAGTTTCACTGCTTCCTTTTGTACCTACCAAGTTCTGCCAACACCCCCTCCACCCACACACATTTGTCAAGCAAAAGCAGAAGCCTCGTCAGTTGTTTCTCAGACACAGATAGACACACGCACATACCCATCCACATTTATTTGCATCTACAGCAAAATGGACTGAGACTGTTCAGAACAAGCAGTTCATTTTAACAACTTCTGTGTCCTCTGTTCCTTTGCAGAGATATCCAGCGTATTGGAATCACCCTCGTTGGTCACCAGAAGAAGATTCTAAACAGCATCCAGCTCATGCGAGTTCATTTGAATCAACTTGAACCAGTTGAAGTGTGATGTTTACATCATCCTCATTCCACTAGTCTCAAACTCTGGAAAGGTCCTGGGGGAATTCAGAGCGATTTTCAATGTAAGGAAAAGATGTCAGTATGCTACTTGAAGACTTAATGCACCCAGAGAGTGCACACCACGTGTCCTGTTCCATGAACAAAAACGAAGCCTTGCTGTGATTTGAAAGCAGAACTGAATGACTGGTGACAATTACATGTGGCTGATGTCATACATTGGGAATGGGTTTGGGGAGGGAAGGTTGTAATAACACGGGGATGAGATGGAATAATGGCTTGGACAGATCACAAGCACCTGTTGCCTATTGTCTGCCAACAAAAGGTATCTGACAACTTTACAAAGTCATCCGCAGGCTTTTTTTATGGCTGAGAGCCCAGCAAAGATGCAAAGGCATAATAAAGGCAACAAAAAATTAGCTTTCTTTTCCAGAAGAATGCCATTGTGGTGTGAAAGATTATTCCTCAGATGGAGATGAGCATCAGGCTATCACTTGGTGTGCCAGCTCAGTTCGGAACTGAAGTTCCAGCTAGTGCACAGCATGTGGTAAGCAAAAACAGATGTCACCTGGTACTCAGGTTCAGAGTAAAGAATCGAAATTCAATGCTATTTCGTGTGCAGTTCTTGGGTCTGCTCCATGATGGGTATTGCTAATCTTTTGTGCTGACGTGAGGAACAGTCCCATCTCTATTTATGGGACTGCAAGAGAATAAACAATGATACCTAGAATCCATCCTGCAAGACCTGCAAGTGAAGCAGGAAACAAACAGGTTCTGGTTCTCACAAGCCCATTCTTGTGAGGAAAGGCATAACCTGTGATACATGGAAATTCTGAGTACCCAGATCTTGGGTTTTACTTTCTTCTGAACCCCATACAATGAAAAGCAGAATGACAAAAATCTGAAACTCTTTGCTGCTGAAAAATATTTCCTCTTTTTCTCACCCTAGCCATTAGACACAGTTTGATTTTTCTTTTTCAGAAAATTCAGACATGCAGTAGTCAGCTTCAAAAAGACAGTTGGAATGAGTGAGGTGAAACACTTTCCAAGATTTTGTCAAGAGTGATCAGGGAATAGTACCAGTCCCATAAGTCACTTCAGTCCTTAAAAAAGGGCTAACAGTGTTCTTGGATTCAACAATGTTGATCCCAAGGCACATCAGAGTGACCAGAGTGGCAGAGTTTATGTATCCCTTCAGGCAGACTATTACCTGTTTATGGGAAACTCTGCTTCAAGAAGGAGCAGAGCTTTGGGGCTGTATCTGTCTATCTATCCCCATGAAGTTGAACTTGAGAGGAAAACTCGTAAACTACTCACTTGTCTACCTCATCAACACATAGGAAGGGAAATGGAAATGGCCCAGGTAAACAAGACCCCAGTTATGATACCCTCTGTGTGTCTAGAGAGGAAACAACCCCAACTGTTGTGATCTGTGCTCATCTGAGAACTAGACATGAGCCTCATGTATTTCTCTAGCTGTCAAGTATATCACAACTTCTTCTCATACTACTCCTGTATGGATTTAAAGATTCCCCCAGTCAACCTAACAACTGAAGACCAAGAAGTCACACTTAAAAGTGATTGAAAAGTCCAATAATATGATGGGAGGTGCTCCAGAATAGTTGCACTGGAATAGCCAATGCAGTTCAGACTCTTTGCTGCAGCATTAGGGTAACGTTATTTTAATTTTTTTAGCTGAAGAGAGAGAACAGCAGCGCATTTTCAAGATATAAAAAAGTCAATACAAAAACAATAAAAAGAAACATGAATAAAACATTCATGACAGTACAAAGAGAGTGTGAAGATTTAAAAAAAAAAAACCCAAATCACATCCGTCTAGAGTCCAACCCAGAAAATCTCAGTCTGTGCTTTTTAAGGGGTTTCTGGAAACTTGTAATACTCACACATCCAGTCACATGTATGCTGACTGACTGTCAGCTCCACCCACGGCATCTGAGACAGAACAAGTGTTGTCCTCTTCAGAAAGCATATTGAGCACAAGATGTTGAGGGGAATCTGTGGTCTCTAGCACCTTCCATATATATTCATCTGAGGACAACAGTGCATGTATGCATCTTCATATATGAGTGTATTCTAGAAGTTTGTGTGCCATTTGGGGAAACTAGGCAGCCTTTCTTTTCCATGCCTTGAGTGGTCAGGATTACTGGAGAGATTAGCAATCTAGATAGAATTCTATGGCCTCTTTTCAGCCTAGTAGAAACTTATATGCAGAAAGACATTTTCTTGCTCTGTTCATGTGATAGGAAATTAAATGGGAGCCTTGCCTGAATTCTGTTGTGTTAACAATGAGACTTGGAACTGCACAAGGAGCAGGCTTGGCATCACATTTGAGTGCAAATGGATAACTATTTTCTGTAAGAAGTGTCTCCATTCTCTTTATTCCCAGTGTGTTCCCAGTTTTCAGGCAGTTATTCTCTTACACAGTTTGGGATGCAAAGGTTCTCAAGTTGCAATGCAACTTGTGTCATTTGCCATCATGTCACTCTTTAACTGTGCAAACATGGAGGAAGGGGCAGTCGGGGCAAAAGCATTAGAAGTACCCTGATCTTACTTTTCTTAATCATCTGAAACCAGAAATTCTATATTCTGTTTCCACAGTCATTTGGGATGTCCTGCAATCCTAACAGGTAGGCATGGAAATGAGGAGGGAAAGCAGTGGGCTCATCTAGGCACCTAGTATCTGCCCTTCACCAGAAGAGTGAGAAACAGTGCTGAAAATGTCTCGCAGAGTTTTGCCAAGGAAGCAGTGGGAGAAGTTACTGCCCACCTTCACTCCTTAAGATTTCTACAACAGGCAGTGTACAAGAATAATGAATAAACTAAATGCATAGGGATCAGTGGACAGACCTTCTTAAGAGTGTTAGGCATTTGTAAGAAAGCTCAGAAGAGTCATGCCTATAGCTAGAAAGAATATATTTCAAAGATGAATGTCTTTTGTGCTTGAACACCAACTTTTCACTGTCTGGAAACAGGAAGAAGCTTCACCTTAAGGCAAGCTGTTTTGTAATTATTCTTGATGAGGTTCCTTGAACCTGTCTTTTTGGTGTCTGTTGCTGGACAGCCTCCCAGACAGATAATTGGATCTGCACCAGGGTGTCAGTTAATGTTCTGTGCTGCCAGAGAGCACGTCGGGCAAGCAAGTTCCCACCTATGCTGCTTTGGCAGCCAAGTGAAATTCTCAGCCAGGAGCTACATGCCTGTGCACTCCTGCCTCACTAAGCCATGGCATGTTTCTGCCAGAAGCAGGCCCTGCTCACCAGAGTGTTCAAAGACAAGCACGTAAGCTAAGATTTTTTCTTCCATGCCTGAAATGATTTTAAGGAAAGGCTCAATGACGGTATAACTTACGCAGTGATTTCTGTGCTTTGTGCCCAAGTAGCTTCAATGCATGTGCGGGTGAAATGGCTGAAGTCCCTATTTTCTTGCTTGCTTGTTTGGTTTTTTTTAATTGAAGGGTGTAATCTTAGTCCATGCTTCAACAACACTGTACTAGGGCTAATTGAGAGAGCACAAGTTGCTCCGTGGAGAGAAATGCTGAAAGAGTCTGTCTGTTTAGCACAAACATATTCAGCACCTAGGGCTGTGTAGAAAGAGAGAAGCTGCTGTAGCTAGTCCCAGACAATTCACATGTTAGGAAGCTGAATGAAACCTATGGGTGTGGTGGGAAACAATGAACACCACCAAGGAACTTGGCTTTACTAAACAAACAAGGGTAGAACTGTCATTGTCACTGGATCTTCCTTGGTCATGATTCCAGCCAACACGTCGTTCTGAGGGCAATTCCAAGTGAAGGTAACCAACTTGAATCCATCCTGCTTTTGGCACATTTTCTCATCAGCTGGCTACATGATTCTTCTTAATGAAGAATTCATGTCTTCTGTATGCAGTTCATGCCTTCTACACCTAGAGATGCAGCTAGGCAGTAGATTTAGGTTCAGGACAAAAGTGATAAATTATCTTCCTGAAACCAGGTAATGCTAGAGGGGCAATGCAATCAGCTGATCACATGTGATGTGCATTAGCAACTATTCATGAGTACCAGGCATCTGGAAGATTGCAGATCACACATAAGTTCGAATCTTTGGATATCATTAAAAGGCAGCATGAAAGAGCAAACCTCATTGCTCTACCTAAAAGCTAGTCTAATCCTTCACTCTTTATATGGAAAAAATGGCACCTCTCTCAGAATTTACATTTTGTTGTGGCATTCAAGGTCATCGTGTTCTTTGTGTAAAGCTGTTCCATTTCAGTGTTGTTGAAAGAGCTGCACTGAGCTGATGAAAAGCCACTGTGTCTTCCAGATCTTGTGGAGCTGTAACTAGGACCTCATCAAAGAGGAATCACTCCCCCTGGTGTGCTTAAATGCAGAGCTTAAGTGTCCCAGTGTGCTGTAGCACAGAACTGCCCTCAAAAAGCCTGGAACTTAGCCATTTCATTTCCCTTTCTTGGGTGATGAGAAAACTCTCTTCCTGAAATACTCTCAGCTGAAACATGCGGATTCATGAAAACATTCTGAGATTTCCTTCTGGTTTCTTCCATGACCTCTTTTCCTCAAACAAACAGGGTAATGTGGTCTTTTACTCAAGTGCTGCAAGAGCAAGTCACAAGTATGAATGCAATGGGTTAACATCTGTGCCCCAAATCGTTAATAATTTTTCCTGTTACTTATGTGACTTATACAAGACCAAGTGTGCTTAGCTGACAGTGCTAAAGCTGTTTGCTTCTGAAAACTTATTCCTTTAAATTCAGGCCATGCTAAGTAAGGTTGGATTTTTTTCCAGTTTATAGTGACACTAGAAACTACACAGGCTGCTGGCTACAACTGGAATTTGAGTTACATCTCATCGCATTTTGGACACTTAGCCAAACCTACTACTGCCTATGCATTTGAACAGCTGGAGCAGATTGATCATTTATAAGCAATTCTGTTGCTGAGATCAGACTCTTACTTTCTTTGAACCCTACTAACTCTTCAATTGAACAGGACATTAAAAATAAAAAATCAGAGTTATTCAGAGAAGTCATCTAGTTGGACAGATATGAATGACAAGGCACTAGCTCAAATAAGCTATTTAAAAATAGATCTATTAATGTTGTTCTGTTAGAAGAGACAGTAATTATAATGTGCCTTACTGTCTCTGCTATTAAGGTAGAAGAAGGAACATTGATCTTTACCCTTCAGGACAGTACACTTCATCTCTTGACCCCCTGTTGAGTTTAACTTACATTTGACTGAAGAATTTTTGGTAGAAAGGCATCTAATCTTGGTTAATTCAGGAATAATGATTCTAAAAGATACCTTGGACTGTTTTATCCTGTGACTGTGATAATTTTTAATTGCCATTTCCCTGGCACTTTTTGTTTACTAGCCAATTTGGATAAAGAGCTCTTTGTAATCTGATACTTCTGCCTTTTCCACCCTCCTTGGGTCACATACTCACTTCTTTGTATTCTTAAAAAAGGAAATATTTACATGTCTCTTTCCCTGTCACACATCTTGTTTGGTCCTCCCATCCTTGTTATCTTCTTCTTCATCTTATCTTCTGCCTTCCTTTCTAAGAAGAGAATATCAAGAAGAGGTAGAACCAGTCTCACTAATACTCTACATGGACAGGAAACCAGCCTCTCACACTGACTGCTCGCTGCTTGTTCACTCACAGATCACAGTAAGCCTTTCACAACTGAGTTCTTTGACTCAATCAGGGCACTCTGATCCTTCTGACGTAAATGTTTATTTTTAGGAAACCCATTCTATGTAGATAGAAAGTGCACCCTTATTTTTTTCTCAGCTGTCAAGCACAGTCCTTAGAGGAGAGTTTTCAAAAAAATGGATCTTTTAAAATGCTAAGCAGTTTTTAATCAGTATTTCAATCTAACAGACCATAAAGTGATCCATAAGTCAAGCCTGGACTACCTAAGATCAATTGTATGGGAACTTTGCAATCCAAATCTCAAAGTAAGTATTTGCAAGAACTGCCTGAATTAAGGAAATATATCAGTGTCTGCCACTTCCTCCGTAGACTCAGTTTTCTCTTGCTTGTTTATCACCTCATCAGAAAATCCAGCATCTAGCTGTTCCTGGCTTGTAAGCCCTTCTTAAATACAGTAAGGAATGAGCCTGTGACTCCAGTTTGGTGAAACTCCAAGGGCAGAGGAGTTCCAAATCCTGGGCCGTATTGTTACAGCATTTTTTAATTACAATCAGGAATTTACAAACACAAAATGTCTAAAAACTAAAATGATCCAGACCTTTTGAATCCCTAATGGCCCTATCAAAGATAGGCTTTACCGCCTCACCTGCCAAATGTTGGTTCATGACTGCTGGTTTGTATCCTGTCACTTTTTTCCATTTCTGCTTTGAGAGAATACCTATCAGATAGGTCTCCTACAACGTACAGCCAGGGCAAAGCTAGATGAGATAATCTCTAAGTAACATATATGTGATCTTATGGGTAAGCATTACAGCAGTATCTTAGGATCTAAAATAACTCAGTCAAGAAATTCCTAAACTCCATCCACTCTGAAACCGAAATAGATTTGCTGGAGCAACTATGGATCACAGGCTCAGGCATTCAGGTGTTGAAATCTTTTAGTGGATCTGGATGGCCATGCTGTAAAATTCTCCTGTCATTTGTTATGAAACTGTTGGGTTGCACAGGGCTGTGTGATGTGTGTGTTTCATCATAGCAGCCCAATGGTTGTCCATACATCACTTGGGATCTGTGATGACATTCACAGAGGAATGGAGCAGGTGAATTACCAAGTCTTTTAAGCTGATGATAGATATAAAAAATAACATGCATCCCTTCCAGTCCTCTCTTCAAATTGTTCCATCGTAGTCAAGATCCCACAATGCTGAACTACTCTTAAGTTCTTAAGCAACCATATCCATGATGTCCTAGTCATCAATCTCCCCTGCTTTTTCATTTTTTGGCATACCAAGTCAGGTCAAGGATCCATTCCTGGATCTTCTCTGTCTTGTTTAATCATCTGCTTTGATGGTGGCATAGGTAAAAAAGAAGTATAGATTTATCCCTAGTCCATTAATGTAAACTAGAGAACTAATTTCATTTTCTTCAAGTTTGTAGTGTACCAGTGCCTAAGACTGAATATTTTTCACCATGAGGTTGAAAAATACCATTCAAATGATCCAGAGGGAGAGCTCTGTGTCAACAAATGTCTCCATTTACACACCACCACTTCATTTGAAATTCCCTCAACAACATTCCAGAATTATTTGCTGAAGGCAAAAAGAGTAAAGGAATCTAGAGGGGGTTGGCTGAAAGAGAGAGAAAATTATTTTGACAAGAATTAAGTCATAGCAGAGAGTAAAGACAGAGCAAATGAAAGATTTATGTTCTTCAGAGGAGAAGATGAAGGGAATAAGAACTTATAGACTGGAAAAATATGTAAGACACAAACAAGCAAACCCTTGAAGAATTTTAAAGTAAGAAACATCTTTGGGCTTAGAGCCTCAGAATGACTGAAAATGCAGCAAATTTAGATTTTACAACATCTCCAGGCAACCTGCTCTTGTGCTTTATCACCCTCCCAGTAAAATACATTTCCTGATGGAACATGCTGTCCTTCATGCTGATTGCTTTTCTTTTTTCTATCACTGGACACCACTGAACAAGCCTGTCCAAATCTGCCTTTTTCAAACACTCCCTTCAGACTTCTGTACATGTTGGACAGTCCCAGGTCTCCCTGCCTCCCCTCACAGGTAAGAAACTCCACTCCCTAAACTGTCTTAGTGGCCTTTTGTTGGGCTCTGTGTGGCAGCTACTTGTCTCTCTTAACTTGGAAGCCCAGATCTGGATGCAGGACTCCAGGTGGTGCCTCACCAGAGCTGAGCAGAGGGGAATGATCACCTCTCTTGGTCTGGTGGAAGCATTCTGTTTAATGCAGCCCAGGATTATCTTTCTTGGTGTCAAGGATACATTGACTGGCTCGTGTTCAACCTGTGGACCACCAGTATCCCCAGACTCACTTCTACAAAGCCATACAGCCAGAGGCATGATTTATAACAGGGGGGTTTGTTTTCAGAACTTCATTTTAGTGCAGGAATTAAAAGAAAAATATCTCCTTGATTTTGTGGGATGGAGAGAAGGAACTATTCAAATCATGAAATACAAGTGGAAGCATAACAAAATAATTATTTACAAACATTAGAAAGGGCAAACAAAAGGGGAAACGAATTGTTTATATTAATCACAACTCCTGTTTATAATCTCCTGTTAATGAGCTCTTACTCATGGTCTCTATTAGCAAGGCAGTGCAGAACCTGAGTGGATGCTCCTACTTGGCATTCATCATGCAAGAGAAGTTCATCATGCACAGTGCAAGGCTTACGTCCCACTTCAATCTTATTTTATAGTGTGAGTGGGATGTAAAGGAGTTCATCAGCCTCATAATGGCTCTATTTACACAGAATTTTTTTCCTCATAAAAGTAGTTCACTTGAGATGCCTTTACTTCAGTGAAATGTCACTATATTTACAGTGAAGTAATCAAGAGTAAGATTAGACCACCATCTGTAGAAGATTTGATTTGAAAAATGTCTAACTCTCTGAAAAGTTGCTTTTATTAAGTATCTACATGGAGAGATAAGTGACCCTCTTGGAACTTTTCATGCTTTCTCAACTGGAATTTAGAAAATGGACCAGTAACAGTTTTAAAGCAGAATATTGAAAAATCAATGGGATGGAAAGATCTACGATGTTAGTTTCAGTAGGAGAAGATTTTGAAGTTTCCAGGGAAGAAATGGAAGCAAAAATGCAATACACACATAGTACAGTCATGTATAAGAACAAAGTACACATATTTCTGTACACACCACAGGTATATACATGTATACACCACACAGATATTTGGCTTAAAAATTAATTGAAGTGTCAGTATAAAAGGAATGGTAAATTTCTTATCGTATTTCCTTACCCTCACAGTTGGTGGCATTGACAGTTACTAAATATACAGTGGCCAGCTGGTTGACTATCATAAATAAAATACTGGCATTTATTGCATTATTCCAGTTTGTATCAAATGACAATTCAGCCCAGTAGTATCTTAAGGGGAAAACTCAGCATTCTAGGAAGAAGCAATACAACAAGCAAGATATAGAATTTGGAAAAATAAAAACAAAAATGAAATATGGAAATACAAAAAATTGGTTTGGATTTGCATTCTTTTCCACCTGTCCCGCAGAGATTTTCTGCTCTTCAGGTGTGATTCAGATTAACAGTATAATGAAAAGATTATTCTCTCCTGCAACAAGGCACTATGCTGATCTTCCATCTCTGCCTTGCCGAATCCTGGCAGCAGAGATGTTCCAGCATTTCAAAGAGAGATTTTTTTTTTTATCATAGACAGATGTTTTGTGTCAAGAGAGAGACTTACTGAGTGTTAGCATATTAATAATAATTCTTTATCTACTCTAATTTAAACTGAGCAGGAATTTGTCTGCTAAGTGCCTAATGCTTAATATCCCCATTTCCACACTATCACAAATATTTCCTGATACTCAGCACACACTTTTGCTTATCAAATTTCAACCCCTATTTTGTGGTACTTTTGAGGCCTTTTTGAATATCTGCTGTCTGTGACTGTTGCATGCTTTTTTGAAGCATATGATTAGGTGAGAAGAGATGATGTGGCGTGCTGTGATGTGACATGACACCAAGACTGTAGGAGAGAATGGAAGAAGGAAATGCATCCACATGAGGAACAAATTGGAAAGACAGCTTTGGAAAGAAAATCACAAGTCTGTGCACTCTGAAGCAATGCTTTTCAATTTCAGAAGGGTAGATAAGAGATTATATGAATATTTCATATATACATATGTTCAGACATCTAAATTTTAAATTAATAATATCACTTTCTCAAAGCCATCTGTATTAATTGAAGGGGCAAACCATGAAGCCATGTCTGATGTCAAATGTTACCTTACAATACATCTGGGCCCCCAGAACAACAGTTCCATTTGAATACATTATTAACAATGAGAATGCATTTGCACAATCTGCCCTTTTGGGTTCCTTAGATATTTTTTTATGATGACTTTGGTTTAGAATCACTTTCCACAGACATCAGAACTTCATATTGCATATTTCTATTCACAGTTGAGGTTGCAGAATATTTTCATAGTTGCATATGAAGAGCTGATGGTTTTGGGCACGGTATGAGAGCGAAAGCATGGTATGAAGTTTCATATTAGTTGTATTAGTCTTGTAATGGGTGACAGTGAAGTCATTGCCAGCTCTTGTCAGTACCATTATCTTACAGGATTAAAGTTTGCTGCTTCTTTTCACTGTATCAGGCTGCCTGCAGGCTCAGACAGGCATTTCTCCACAAAATATTGTTCATTAGAGTACAGGGACAAAAAACTACTTCCTTTTATAAGACCAAACTTCCACAGAAAAGTTCGCTGACAAGATTTGTCTTTCTTGGCAATTCTGAAGTTACGATTTGTGGAAGAGACACAGATATGCTACTGATTCATCAGGTTGATAGATGAAGAAAAGTTGGACAGTTGCAGAGACACCCATGTCAGAAATAAAGAAAACACAGTTTAAAAGCAGTTTAACCCACAGGTGAATACTAAAGTAGATGAGATTGTAAGAGTTGTGGCTGAAAATTTATTTAGTGGCCTGAGGATTCTTGCCATCATCTCCCTTTTCCATTATCACTTTCACCAAACTGATGGTTTCTTTCACCACAGCCCTGTGAAGAGCAATCTCTCCTGCAGCACACAATTTCCTTATTGTCTCTCACACCATATCAAATGTGCCAGAAACACTTCGACAACTAGAAATCCACAGCACAGCCACAGGTATTTTAATAGTGGAAAACTGAGAGATAATAGGAAACTACAGGATTTTCAAAGATTTCCATGGCAATGAGTGATTAATATCCATGGAAGTAGGGAGATGAAGCATAAGATTTCCTTCAAGTCTCAGGAAATTGTCAGTTCAAGGCTCATCTCATTTTCATATTAGGAGTGTCTTCTAGAAGACAGCCTAGGTTTTGTCCTGTGGGAAGGACATAAGATCTAATCTAGTTTCTCATCTGTGCAGGATTCAATTTGTTTGGACCCAAAGGCAGATATTAGATCTGTGAAATGAATTGCCACTCAGAGTGAACAAATTCACTGTCAGCATTTCTCATTTAAGTGTTTAACAATTTGTTTATTCCAGTTCTCTTCCCAGTCATAATTTTATACTCTCTAAACATTTAAGTGTGAATATCTCAAGCACTTGGAAATGCTGCTTCACCAGATTTCAGTGAAGTACCTTTTGTTTATGGTTCTGAAATAATTAATGATCTCTTAGAGATGGAGAAGCTGTGGCACAGAGAAATGAAGACCTTTGTTCATAGATAGGAAATTGGCCATAACTAGCTTTCACACATGAATTCCCTACCTTTTTTTAGACTTTTTCTGAAATAGGTGGATGCAATTCTCACACAATGCAGAGTTGCTATGAAAGCATTTTAAGAAGTGACATACTCCTCCAAAAATTCACAGTATGAATGTAGTGTTCACCCTGAAATTTAGGCAAAACCACAAATAAATACTACTGCTCCTGAGGGCTACATGATCTTACAAGAACTTCAGATGTATTCTCCTCTCATGAATTGTGTTTGTTCAGGGAGGAGACTCCTCTCCACGACTGTTTCCATTGCTTTCTCTGGAAGGTCCGTGTAGCAACATCTGTGAGAATGAGCTTCAGATAGGAAAAGCATCATCTGGATCCACACTGCTTCTGTCAGCGCTGAAATATGTCTGCAGAGGTGATCACAACGTGATCTTTCTCAATTATCAATCCAGACAAATCGAATAGGAAAAAGAAACTGAGAAAAAAAAGGCTGAGAATGTGATACATTTCCAGGACAAAATTGATTTACAGGCTTTTTAGGTCATGCTAAATACAGAGTTTAGGGACATGGGTGTTTTAGACTGTCTAGGTACACAGTTCACCTCTTGGAATGAAAGCAAAGTATTCAGAGGTATCAGGAAACTGAGTCATGGGTAAGTAGAATAAAACATCCTTGAGCAGGTAATTTTCACTAGTTCTTTGGGATCCTGAGTGAATCTCTTACATGGTTCTGGACCATTACTGGACCATGTTTGATCATTTGGATGTCCTGATACTGTCCTTTCATATATTTATACCTGCTTACAGCTCAGATGTCATTGTTTCTTTGACAGGTTCTGGGGCTGTGTCTGTCACAGCTGAGCAGCGCCCACACTGTCCTACAGTCACATGAAGGGCTGCCTCTGGTTGTGTATTTCCATCAAATAGAAAGGATTTGGTTACTGGATTTTGTACTGTGGCAAGAATCAATGATCCTTCAAGTCTACTTGAAACTGGTTGATGAACTTGAAATGGGAACAGAAATCCAGAAATAATGCCAAGA